GTTATGTTTTAGAATTAAGTTTCATGCCCTTACTCTTGGACATGAGTATTTAGTCATGTGCAGCTAATACAAGCGTTGATGCAGTTTTTTTGCATGTTTGTCTCATGTTTTACCCCCTGCATTATACCATTTTCCCCCTTTTTGTCTTCTTTTGTGTTATGATTTAATTAATTGGATTGCACTCTGTCCAGTAATTAGAGAGTTAGATCAATGACTCAATAATGCTAACATTGTATAATCTTCAACCCCACTCACCACCCTCTGACTCTGCATCCTTATGGCCACAAATTTGTCCTGAGTATGTTAAATTTCATGACAGCACCACTCTTATTTTATACAATTGATATTCATTTATGTCTCCTCCCTATTTATCATTTCTTGTACTCTTCATTCTGAATTTTAGAGTTTTCATCTGGAATCAATTTCCTTCTGGCTGGGGGGCTGCCATTCACATTTCATTTGAGGAGCACTATCCCTTCCCATGAATTATCTCAGTGCTGCTTCCTTATGGACATCTTCATTTATCCTTTGTAGTTGGACCCATGGCACCTCCTCACTGGGCATAGAATCCTAGGCTGGGGCTGTGTTCCTTCAGCACCTGGAGACATTGTCATGTTGGATTCCAGGTGCCGTCACTTGCTTGAGGGTCACTCGTCAGGCTCACTGTTGCTCCTCCTTTGAGAGAGCTGTTTCCATTTGGCTTGCCTCTTTGGTAGTTTTGCTGTGATGCATTTTGGTGTGTGTGTGACTGTTGGCAAATTCTGGGCTGCGGCTGTTTCATATCCCTATCCCTATCCGTCTCTTCCTCCTGTTGGAACTTTCATCATGCAGTTGATAAACGTTTATCAATGCCATTTTATCATTCCTGTTGATTCCAGTTCTCTGATGGTAGTTTCCATCCTTTGTCTTTTTGGTTTATCTTTCCCTCTACTTTATTAAAACATTACACATTGTTAGTGTAGAATCCTTTTTCTGCAATTATTGCTGGCTTTTCTCTTAGTTGTCTGTCTGGGGAAAGTTGAGGTCATAGGTTTCTATATTCTTGTGCCATCTACCTGGGGCACACCCCTGTTATTATGGATGGGAGTTTAAAAACAGGGCCCAGGTTCTAAGATACCCTCCCAGTGAGCAGTGGAGTCGTGCTCCCCACATCCTACCTGTGCAGGCAGAGGCCTGTCACGCACAGCTCATGAAGGGCAGGGTACCTGCAACTTCTGGGACTGGGTCATCACAGGTGGCATGGTTTGGATTTGTGTCCCCACCCAAATCTCAAGATTGAGACCTTTGCTTATCTTGGTGTCAACTAACTCATGAGATCAGGTGCCCACATTTTCCCTACAATAAGCCAATGACCTAATCCCAGGAGAGGTGCAGCTTTGCACCAGGATCCAGTCAGCATTTGGGGGAAATGGGCACTAATCATAAACCCAAAATTAACATTGCAGTGGTGAGAAGTGTGGGCGTGACTCTTGGCCAAATTTGCATTCTTTGGTTCGTGGGTAAGTCACAAAATAGAGGATATTAGGACATGTGAGAGGAGACCCTAACGGCTGCTTGCTTCCACGGATGCTGACTGCCTGGCAGAGGTGTCACCTTCCCCTGCCTTGCTTCCTACAGGAAGGCTGAAATCCTGATGTAAGGGAGTCGCCCACCTGGGTGTGGTTCCAGCGCTGGCTCGAGGGACAGGAGTGGAACAATTGTCTACCATGAAGCTGATGTTGAGGAGATGTCAAAACCCTTCACCTTTACTAAAACGTTAGATGTCAGAAATTTGTTTTTAGATATTTGACAGGTACCTATTCTCAGCACTTATCTCAGACCAAGGAAGTTCACAATATCCTTTTACTCCATGAAAATGACCAGTTTCCTAACCTTTATTAAACTTACTTCTTCCCAATACTACGAGACTAACCCTATTTTTAATACCCTACATTTAAAAAATGGTGTTTATCCATTTTTGGATGTTTTACACAATTCTACAGCTTTGACATTTCGGAATCGGCAGGGTTTTGCCTTGCTGCACTTGTGGCTGGGTGGCCAGACTGGTCCAGAGGTCTGTAGTCTCCAGGTATTGAACACCCCCTGGGAAGTCATTGAAATGCAGATGCTGGGCCCACCCCAACAGCCTCATTTAATGTGTACCCACCTCTGGAAAGACCCCATCTGCAAATAGGGTTCCGCTGTGAGGTGCTGAGGTGAGAACGCTGACAGGCAGATTGGGGGCACACCCCCAGTTAGGGGGCCCCTAACCCCCCACATTCTGGCTTCCTTCTTAGCCCCACACTCCCAGCCCCATCTTCAGACCCTCTGAGCTAGAGGCCCAAGCCCTGCAAATATCCCTGGAAGACTTCTGAGTGCTCTGGGCTGTGCCCAGGGCCAGCTGCTGTTCTGAATCACAAGAGGGCTTCAGAGTGACCTCCACATTCCTGGGCTCAGTGCGGGCCCGAATTTGCAACCTCCAGGAAGGAGGGGATTGCTAGAAAATTTATAATTACCATTGTTATAACTGCTTCCATTTGTTCTGAAGATGGTGTGGCTTAGTGATCACTTATCTGAACGTGCTTTAAATTCTGTTCCACCTTGATGCAAGTGTGCAATACCTTTGACACGAGGTGAACTTAGCCTCAATTTACTTCAGTTGAAGCTCATCTTCCTTCTTTCTAACTGCTTTTAAATGTGGAGCTTTAGTCTATAACAGCTGGCTGCCTCATCTTCTGAGGTCCACGGCACAAGCCCTTTGTCAGAGTGGTTGCACCGAAAATGTATAGATCAGATTCCGGATTAAAAGTCAGAAGCAATTTGTATTTTAATTTGTATTTATGGGGGCTCAAAAATTACCTGGGAAGGATTCTTGGAGCTTGAGCCTGAACTTCTCAATTACAGAAGAACAACATCCTATTACTCGGCCATTGTATTTTGAGGGTTGCTTTCAGATTCTTGGAAGAAAAGTCACATTTACATTTATAACACCTGGGCTCAGTTCCCAGGTTCCTGGAAAATGCCATCCATGTCTCGGCAAAGCAAATGCTGGCATTGAAAGCCCAGAAACTAGAGATAGGACTCACATATGGCTGAGACGGGCATTAAAGTTTGAAGTGAAAATAATTGCTACATCATAGTTGCTAAAGTTTGAACCTAAAAAGGATCACAGGGAGGGTGTGACCGAGGCGTGAAGGATATGCGACCTGGACTCCCATCAGGCATCTGAACCCATGAGCCCACAGACCCTGTCCACATCACAGGAAATACCTCACAAACATCACCAATTCCATCTCGAAAATACGTGGCCCCAAATCACCATAATGCAGAGAGAATGGGTCCTGGGGTGCTCTGTAAACAGCCTTGAAGTTCTGACAGCAGCTGGGTCATCCCCATCCAGACGCAGAAGCAAAACCTGTAGTGGGAATACACATTGACTGGGGGGTTCACCTACACAATGGGGGTGGCTCAGTGGGTGAGAGGTCCATAGGGCAGGCTGCCAGGAGTCTCTGACCCCCACGGCACTAGCGGAAGCCAGTTGCCCATGGGTGTTGGGAAGGAAGGCCCTGGGGAAGCCCTGGGCTCACACTCATGGGCCTCCCAGCTGATGGAGCCAGCCCCACCGGGGATCATCTCCCTTTGAATTAACCTGAAGTTGACTGATTAGGGGCTGTAATCACATCTGCTTCTCAGCAGCACCCAGGCTGCCTGTGACTAAGTGTCTGTTAAATATACCTATGCCTCCCTCCACTCGGGGAGCTGCTCTAACCACACACTAGCAGCGGGAGGCTAGACACTGTGGCCCTGCCTAGCCACATCCGCGCATCTGAGCTACCCACAGGCTTTCTAAAACCAAAGCCAAAGCCAAGCGCAGTGTGAACTGAACTACGGTTCTGTTGTTCCCATTGTACTAAGTGTAGAAACCAAATTTGTCAACTCCTAGGTGGTGACACCATTTGTTTTTCCCTGGGAAATCACCCCTTGGTCATTTCTGGGGAACCCTCTCTCCATTGCCGTTCATTTCTCCCAAGGGGCCTCAGTCTCCATTTATGCTGGGAACTTGCCTCCCATGGCTGCTCCCAGCCAGTGACTGAGCACAGTGGGGATACTGAGGCAGACGATCCATGTAGTTCCCAGGTCTCCCCTGCTGGGTGGCTTCAGCCTGAGGACTCCTGTGGATGTGGTCAAAGCTTCCTTTGAGCTGTGGTAGAGCCTGAGGCTCCTGTCCACCCTTCCCACTTCCTGCTGCACAGGGTGACACCTGCCCAGTGTCTGGCATTCCACATGTTTCTGTCTCCGTGAGGAGACAGTGTAGGTTGCTGCAACTTGTCCGTCAACTTTGAAGGGTCATGTTGACATTCTTCAGACCAAAGTGCTTTCAAAACGTCACTGAGAAAGCAGGACCATCATTTAAGATGTACCTTCCCCCCTGTGACTTGCACATGCCATACTAGAGGCACCTGCAGGGCTTGCCTCGTACTGACTGGCAAGTGCCATTGGCATTGGTGAGGCATGACGGAGCAGATGGTGTGAAGCCACGGAATGCCAGGATGGGTGATTCCTATGGACTAGATTAAAGCAAGGACTATAATAATCAGATTGCTTTGATGGGGCATGGTGGTTCATGCCTGTGATCCCAGCACTTTGGGAGGCTGAGGTGGGCGGATCACCTAAGGTCAGGAGTTCCAGACCAGCCTGGCCAACAGGGGGAAACCCCATCTCTACTAAAAATACAAAAATTAGCCGGGCGTGATGATGCATGTCTGTAATCTCAGCTACTCAGGAGGCTGAGGCAGGAGAATCGCTGGAACCTGGGAGGTGGAGGTTGCAGTGAGCAGAGATCATGCCTCTGCACTCCAGCCTGGGCGACAGAGGGTGACTCCATCTCAAAATAAATAAATAAATAAATAAATAAATAAATAAAAATAAAAATAAAACTGTCTTGAGGCAAGGTCATGAACTTTTACTCTTAAACATGCCATGCAAAGGAAAACTATTTTAAGAACATTTTTGTAGCCAAATTTAAAAAAAAGTTTAAAATTTATTTTGCGTTGAGATACAATGAACACACCACAAAACTCACCCTTTCTGTGGCACACAATTCAGAGGTGTCCAGCACATTCACAAAGTTGCAAAACCATCACCAGGATCTGAGTCCAGGGCGTTTTCCTCACTCACCCAGAATAAAACCCATACCCATGGGCAGTAAATGCTCTGCTCTCTTACCCCATTCCCCGGCAACCACTGACCAATTTCTATCTCCATGAGTTTTGTCTGTTCTGGGAATTCCATGTAAATGAACTCATAGAGTCTCCTTTTGTATCTGACTTCTTTCATGTCAAGTATTTTTAAGGTTAATCCATATTGCAGAATGTCTCAGTAATTCACTCCTTTTAAGGCTCAGTAATATTCTATCAGAAGGGTATACTACATTTTGTTTATTCAATTGACAGACATATGAATTATTTCCACCTTTTAATACACAAATAATACTGCTGTTTTTAGTGTGGGCATATGGTTTCAGTTCTCTTGGGTACATACCTAGGACTTGAATTGTTGAGTCATCTGGTAACTTTAACTTTTTGAAGAACTGCCAAATTATTTTCCAAACTGGCTGGACCCTTTTAAATTCTCACCTGTAATGCATGAAAGTTCCAGGTTCTCCACATGCTTGCCAACACTCGTTATTTCCATGGTTTTGGTTATAGTCATCCAAGCGAGGAAGCAACCCCTCATTGTGGCTCTGATTTGCATTTTCCTAATGACTAATAATTATGAGCATTTTTTCTTGTGCTTATTAGCCATCTGATTATCTTCTTTTGGGGAAATGTCTATTCAAACTCTTTAACTATTTTTTAATTGCACTATGGGTCATTTGATTGTTGAATTTTAAGTGTTGTTTGCATGTCATCACACCAACGTATTAGTCAATATGGGATTCCAAATATTTTAGCTCATTCTGTGAGCTCTTTTCACTTCACTGATAGTGTCCTGTTGAGTGCAAACTTTTACATTTTGACAAAGTCCAATTTTTCTAATTTTGTCTCTGTGTGTTTTTTGTGTCATCTAAGAAGGCATTGTCAAATTCATGGTTAAGAATGTGTTTTCTTCAGAGTTCTATGGTTTTAGCCCCTCTGTTAGCTCTTTGATTCATTTTTGGTTTTGTCTGCAGTGTAAGGGCTCGGCCTCATTCTTGGGTATGTGGGTGTCTAGTTCTCTCAGCACTATTTGTTGAAAAGACTGCTGTTTCCCCATTGAGCAGCCTTGGCACCCTTGTCAAAAGTCAGTCAACTATGGTTATACACGTTTATTTCTGGGATCTCAATTCTGTTTCATTGATTCTATCCTTATGCCAGAAATACACTGTCTTGATGACTGTAGTTTTCGTAGGTTTTGAAATCAAGAAGAATTCAACATACTCTGGTCATTCCAGATCCCTTACATACCCCATGCACATTTTAGTTTAATTCCCATGTGCTTGTTAATTTCTGCAAAATAAAAACAGAGGAAGTGGGAGGCACTGTAATTCGATAGGAATTTTGCAGAATCTATAGGTCATCTTGGAGTGTAATGCCTTCTTAGTATCTTGTCTCCATCCATAAACATGGATGTCTTTCCATTTAAGTCTTCTTTGATTTCTTTCAAGGATGTTTTGTACAATTAGGTATACCAGTCTTGTACTGCTTTTGTTAAATTCATACCTAAGTATGATATTATTTTGATGCTTTTCCATATGGATTGTTTCTGAATTTCATGTCAGAGTTCACTGCTGTGGAGAGGAATAAAATTGGTTTCTGTATTTTTCATACCGCAAGCTTGGCCTAAGAGTTGCTTTTTTATTAGCGCTATATAATTTTTGTGGATTTCTTAGGATTTTGTGTATTCAAGATGATGTCATCTGTGAGTAGATGGAGTGCTGCTGCTTCCTTCCCAGCCTCGGTGTCTTTGACTTGCTTTTATTGCTTGATCGCCACGGCTGGGACGTCCAGCACAATGATGAACAGAAGTGATTGGAGTGGACACCCTGTCTTCTCCCTGATGTTAGGGGAAAGCTGTCAACTTTTAATGACGGGTTGAGCAACCCAAATCTGAGAAGAAAAGCAGTAGAATCAGATTTTCCTCCTTATGTTCAAATCCTTTTAAGTCTGCCTTTGTACAGTGAGGCCTTTCTCTACCAAATAAAATATGAAATCTGTAGACATGCTTTTGGCTTTTTTAGCATGAACTATTAAGAAATACTTCCTTACACAAAAAAGGATCCTAATTAGTACTCTAAGGTCATCTGAAAACAAGTGCTCCCAAATCTGACCCTTAAAGGAGATGCTCATTGGAGCATTTCACATTTTGGATTTTCAGATTTGGGGTACTCTGTTGGTATAATGCAAATATTCCACAATCTGAAAAATACCCAAATCTGAAACTCTTCTGGTCTCAAGCATTTCGGATAAGGGATTCTCAACCCGAATCAGGTATGAGGTTCACCGTGGGTTCATATGTTTTATGGACTGCCTTTCAGCAGGTTAGGTATTTTCCTTACATTCCTACAGCCTTGGGATTTTCATGAAAATTTTTTAAATTTTGTCAAATTATTTTTCTGTTTCCATTGAGGTGGTCGTGTACTTTTTGTTATTTGTCTTATAAACATGGTATATATACTGATTTATTTTTGTACGTTGAGACGACCTTGCATTCCTGAGGCAAACCATGTGGTCACGGTGTATGTGTGCTGCTGACTTTGGTTTGCTAGAATTCTGCGAAGGATTTTCGTGGATGTATTATATAGACACAGTACTTATTCATATCACACACAGATTCATCAGCATTATTTGGGTCTGCAGTTTTTTCTCTCCCAATATTCTTTTCTATTATTTCTGTCAGGATAACACTGGCCTCACAAAATGAGTTGCAAAGTTTTACCTCCTTTTCTATTTTTTAAAAGAATCTGTGAAGGATCAGAGACATTTCTTCTTTAAATGTTTGATAGAATTCACAGGGAAGTCATCTTGTCTCGTCTAGGTAAGATTTTGTGATTGAAACTCCGTTCTTAAACACTCCACACATTGTTGCAGGCCTTGCTTACTTTCCAGAATTCTGAAAAAAGTTAATTTGTATTACTTTTTTTTAGTGTTCTAATTGCTTTCATGAAGGAGGGGATTTTTGGAGGTACTTCACAATTCCCAAACACAGTGCTGATAAAGTTGGTGTAAAAGAAAAGGCACATTCTAGATCAGTGATTGCATGTCAGGTGCCAGGACGTCGTGTCAATGTTTCTCCAGGTACGGACCTGGAATAAGCACTGGGATTGAAACGGTTTTATCTGACAACCTGTGTTCACTATCCAAGACCCACTCACCAGCCACTCAGGCTAAAGAGGCAGGTGAGGAGGGGGTGGAAGGAGCCACCCCTGCACCTCTCATGTCTGAGCAGGGCCCCATCTCTGCAGCCCCCCAGGACACAGGAGCACTCTGGCTTTACTCTGGTGAGCAGTGGGGATCCAGGGACCTCTGTGGTCCTGCCTGGGGGATTCTCCTCTCTGCACCTGGGGGAGGAAGATGGGAGTCCTGGCTGCTGCTGGCGTGTCTGTCACAATTACATTTTCAGGCACTGAGAGCTTAAGTTCTCAGTACCTGAATTCTGCTCAAAAACAGCTGACATGTATTTGAAAGCATTTTCTATGGTAAAACTTTTTCAATTTTTCATGCCATCATAGGAGCGTCTCCTTAACCCCCATCTTCTGTTGTGGAGGCTATCTGGTCCTGTGAAGCTCGTGGAAGGTAAGAAGGAGGGGGTCCTCCGTGCAGCCCCGGAGGGGGTAGAGTGAGTCAGCCTCGCAAATGCAGCACAGACCTGTGGGGCTTCATGACCATGGCCTTTACCCAGTGACAGTGTGCACTGCTCATGAGGGCTCCAAATGTCCATCAGCCCCTACACTTCGGGAGAAGCAACACTTCAGGTTTTCACAAAATATTACAGGAAACACAGTATTTTTCAAAGAAAGGAAAATGAAGATTGTCTGTGGGAATGCTTCAATTCAATGTGGGCACAGTTAGATGAATAACTAGTTTTCCCCAACTGATTTCATAAAAGCTCCCTGGGGTCTTCTCAACCTCTGTCTTGCTTGTTTTAACTTGGGGCAGTGCCAACTGCCAGCTACAGAGACACTGCGTTACCCCAGGGACAGTTTATCGATGAACCAGATGGTCACAAGACCAAGTCACCTGAGATTCTGAGACAGAAATAACAAAACGTCAACTTCAATAACTACCTACTCAGGAATTTTTAACTTCTGCATATTTCTAAAGGAAAACCCATATGAGGGCATGAAAAATTGAAACAGTTCACCAGGCTTCCCCACCTCTCCCCGAGGCGGACAGACAGGGTGGTGGCCAGAGGAAGGAGACCAGATTTCCCCACCTGTCCCCAATGTGGACACACAGGGTGGTGGCCAGAGGACGGAGGCCAGGCTTCCCCATCTGTCCCTGAGGCGGACACACCAGGTGGTGCCCAGAGGATGGAGGCCAGGCTTCCCCATCTGTCCCTGAGGCGGACACACCAGGTGGTGCCCAGAGGATGGAGGCCAGGCTTCCCCACTTCTCCCTGAGGCGGACACACAGGGTGGTGGCCAGAGGATGGAGGCCAGGCTTCCCTACCTGTCCTCGAGGTGGACACACAGGGTGGGTACCCAGAGGACAGGTCTTTACCGAGCTGGCTTTATGGGACCTTAACAGGGGCCCCGTGTGATGATTCGTTGATCAGAGATTTGAAATTAAGTGCAGGATAGAGGGTAGCGGGTGAACCTCCTACCCGCTGTTCTCCTGGTTTGCACACTAAGAAGGCATAGACCTTGCACCCTGGTTTTGGAAAGTCTGAGAAATGGACCCCCACATCCTGGAACTGAGGCCAGAATCACGGATTTTGAGATTTTCCTGGTGGTCCTGGTGAGCACAGGATTGCAGCTGAAAGTCCAACACGTGCAGGGCATTGTGACAGCCAGCAACGCACGCCGGGGTCCGAGCCCGAAGCAGATCCAACCTCTGAAAAGGAGGCACGACACAGCCAGAGGCGCTTCAAACACTTGGGAGTGGAGCTGCCTGCGGTCCTGTGCCAGGACAGAAGGAAAGTCACGAGAGCCCCGGGGAGCATCAAGTGAACACACAGCAAAAGACAGGAGCGTTTATCGCTACAAAGAAAACCCACATAATCACCCAAGAGTTTAGGGAAATAAATTTACTGTTATGTATCATTCAGGTATTGCAGCTGCAAATAAAAATACATTTCATTATTAAGAATTTGTGGTTCTACTACTCTTCAACCTTAGTTGAAAAAGAGAAGGCAGAAACCTTTGTGAAGTCAGCATGAGTCAGGGCACGGCTGAGAGGCTGGAACCATCAGTACTGGTCTCGGTGACATTAGAAGAAAACAGAGCAGAGAGCGTGCGCGGTTAACTCCGGAGTGTTGCTCCACGTGGATTTTCAGTTTCACAGCTGAAGACTGGCAGTTAGTACCAGACATTTCCATATTCATCACGAACATTTGAATAGGAAAAACTAAACAAAAGCAATGCAAACAAACCGAAAAATAAAAATCTCAACAGAGGAGTAACACTTTGCATTGGCCAGCAGACAGCAAGGCAGACAGGCTGTTGATTTTTGGCCCCTTGGCTATGGCTCGCAAGAAGACCTAAAAATTCAACAGACACAGTCAAGAGGAAGCTTGGTTCTGTGGAAACCAATAGCAATGACTATAGGCAGCCTGTGTGTGTAGACCAAGTGAAGCTGCAGGTCCTACTGTGACAGAGAACTCAGAACTTGAGCAAGTTTCCCTTCCAAAACTCACAGTCGCTAAGCAGGTTAAACGTCCATGTAAAATCACATCAGGGCATGGGAAACTAACCCAGATTATGAAGCTGTCTAACTCACGGTCATGTGAAGGGCATGAAGGAGGGTAAAGGACAATGTCTCGGGACGAGGCCCCAGGCCCTCTGAGGGGGCGTCTGTGCAGCCTGACTGCCTTGAAGCCTGTTGCATTTGCAAAGGTCATTTCTGGCCATGGAGAGCCCTGGTGAAGCGCCGAGTCACTGCAGTGAAGTGTTGCCCCTCGTTCCCGCTCAGACGAAGTGCTCCTTCTGGGTCCCCCGCGCTGCGTTCTGCACGCTGAGCTCACGTCGGAGCACTGCCTCATTGGTGCCGTGGCTCTCTGGTGGCGCCTCTTTGGGTGTGTACAAGTTCCTCTGCTGATACAGGCGGACGGCAATGGCAGCCAGACAGAGCAGGACGAACATCACAACGGCAATCACACCTGAGGCAGCAAAAGGGAACCCCGGAGTCAGGATGTGCACGCTGGCACCGTGCCCAGCACGCACAAGGCTGACTGCACTGCCCAGAGCCAAAGCAAAATCACTGTGCATTCACCAAGCCTATGCTTTATTGTAAACTGGAAACATCACAATTTCAGGGATTCTAGGTCAGGTAGAATCCTAACATTTAGTTGACTTTTCAGTTCTAACAATCTGCTGGGTGTAGCGTTGTTTTATGCATTTACTCTATGAGTCTTACGAGAGTAATTGGAAGCTTCCAGAAGAAAACACACATTTGTCTCCCAGGTCTCATGCACTGCACGCTCACAAGCAGAGACTCACATAGCTTTTAGAGTACAGGATGCACCACATCATGCCATCAGGACTGCTTTCCAATAACCTGGGTAGGGCATAGTGAGTCACAGCAATATGTGATTGAACCTGTTCATACGTGATTCAGTCTGCACCCAGATATGGACATCCTCGAATGGTTCCTGCTGCTAAGTTTACTGTAGGAATATATGAACTATGGGAGTTTATGGGATCTAAGTTATTTGAAATTGTCTGATTAAAACCAATGCCACGCCTGTAATCCCAGCACTTTGGGAGGCTGAGGCAGGTGGATCACGAGGTCAGCAGTTCGAGACCAGCCTGGCCAACATGGTGAAACCCTGTCTCTACTAAAAATATAAAATTAGCTGGCCGTGGTGGCACCTGCCTGTAATCCCACTTACTCCAGAGGCTGAGGCAGGAGAATCGCTGGAACCCAGGAGGCGGAGGTTGCAGTGAGCCGAGATCGCCTCACTGCACTCCAGCCTGGGTGACAGAGCGAGACTCCGTCCCACAACAAAGAAACAAATAAACAAAAACCAATGCCTGTGGGTCTCAATCTTGCGGCACAGTCACCTCCAATCACTGCGGAGTCTCCTCTGGTCTCGCCAGCTATGGGTTCGCCCTCATCCACCGGACCAGGATATTCTGCAGGGGAAAAGCAGGGTGGGCAATGGTGAGACATTCTCAGGAACCTGGAATTTGTGTCGTTTCAACTTTAAAACTGTCAGCCACAGTGAGACTGGATATCATCCGTCAATTTTAAAATATGTGGGCAAGACAGCGGAAGGCTGAGGTTTCAGGAGCCGCCGGCGTCTCCCCGGGCCTCCGGCCTCTCACCTGAGCCCCCCGCCCGGGGCTCCTTGTCTGGGCCCGCGGTGCCCACCTGCTCGAGCGTGCGTGCGTTCCCGCGCCGCGTCCTCCCCGGCTCCACAGCTCGACCTGGCCACGGGGCCGCGCACCGAGGCGCGCCCGGAGCGCCCTGGAAGCAGCGCAGCCTTCAGCGGGGCCACGCGCTGGAACTGCAGCGCCGAGAGGCAGCCGGAGAAGCCCCGCGCGCCGGCCCGTGCAGTCTCCGCGTCCACGTGGCCGCCCGGCTCTGCGGGACAGAGGGAGAGGTTAGCAGGCGCGCGTGCGTGGGGGCGCGTGCGTGGGCCTTGGGTACCCGGGTGCAAAACAAGGGTGCCTGGACAGCGGCTGAACACCAGAGCAATAGCTTCAGCCTTTACCCTCTCCCAAAAAATAATTATCAGTTAATCACCAAATAAACTGAATACCAACAACAGCAAGGAAATAAAGCAATCTGTGAAAAAATTCCTAAATTTTAGATTTATAATTATGCTGCTAAAAATAAAATCATACTGTGTACAAAAATAATGGATATACTGTTAAATTTACATCACATTAAAAAATTACATTAGTACATATTTATTGGCCTGGTTCATGAACTAACACTAACATTATGGTTTGTGTTTTTGAACCTTAACTATTTTAGAATTTAACTAGAATTTGGTGACGTTCAGCCAACAGTCCCTCAGCCTTCTGGGTGCAGATCAGAGCACACAGTGGACCTGCGTTTACTCACCACACCCATTTCCAAGCCAGGTATCCGAGTATTCTCAGCCACTGAGGCTGAACTACGGAGAAGTAAGTGTGTGCGCCAACAGGGACTGAGAGGTCCCCTCCTCATGCATGTCCTCCCTCCTCATCTTCCCTTGTTCATTTCTGCTCCAGTTTGGCTTTAATCGATCAGGGCAATTTCTCCAACATTTGCTTCTGGGGTGTGGTGGGGTTTCAGTTGTTGGCTGAGGACCCAAACTTGATGCCCTGAGGAGCATCACGCCATCTTCCTTTGTCATCACACCATCTTCATCATCACGCCACCTTCCGTCGTCATCATGCCACCTCTGTCCTCATTTCGCCACCTTCCTTCACAATGATGCCATTCCCTCCACTGTTGTGGAGATGTCTTGTGTCAGTCTGATGTTTTATCTTCATAATGTTTTGTTTCTGCATGACAATCCGTATGGCTTCCTCTATGTGGAGTTTACACATTTATCAGCTGTGCTCAGGCATTTCCATGAATGCCACCTGGGACTCCTGGATCCCCTGTACCCCGTACACATAGGGGTCTCAGTCAGCCCTGGTGCTGTCACAACACACAGACCAGGTGACTTAAACAACATACATTCATTTCTTACAGATCTGGAGGCTGGAAGTCTGAGAACGAGATATGGGCAGATTCGGTATCTGGCAAGGGCTCCCGTCCTGGAGTGTGGACGGCAGCCTTCCTCTTGTATCCTCAGATGCCCAAGAACAGAGGAGGAAGAAGGGAGAACTCCTCTGTCTTCCTGAAAGGGCACTAATGCCAATCAGGAAACCTAATCACCTCCTCAAGGTCTCATCTCCAAACATCATCCCTATTTATCGCTTCACCTTGAAAGTTCCTCTCATTTCAGAAGAGTTGATTTATTAGAACTCATGCTTGTTCCTTCACAGAATTAACAGAGTCCTAATGGCACAGAATTCTTCAGCCTCAGGAGAAGCTGCAGGACCCAACCAGGGCGTGGTGCTTTATGAGCATCCCTATTTGAGGCATGTATTCCTGGAAAGAGTTAAAGCTGGAAGAGTTCAGGTTTAAAGGAAGCTCACTCTGTGACCATTGTAAAGAATGAGAGAAGACAACCAGAACAGGCACCAGTGACTGAGACCCTCCCAAGTGGTGACACAAACATGCATTTCAGTCGGACCATGACCCTGGGCTAGTCTGTTCTCACACAGCTAATAAAGACATACCTGAGACTGGGTGATTTATAAAGGAGAGAGGTCTAATGGACTCACAGTTCCACATGGCTGGGGAGGCCTCACCATCATGGCAGAAGGCAAGGGAGGAGCAAAGGCAGGTCTTACATGGCAGCAGGTAAGAGAGAGTGTGCAGGGGAACTGCCCTTTATAAACCCATCAGATCTCATGAGATTTATTCACTGTCATGAGAACAGCATGAGAAAACCCACCCCCATGATTCAATTACTTCCCACTGGGTCCCTTTCATGGGGATCATGGGAGCTACTATTCAAGATGAGATTTGGATGGGAACACAGCCAAACCATGTCCGCTGTGCTGTGTGAGGAGCTGGACAAGGCACATCTTCATGCACCTGCAGCCACAGCCCCACCATGCCCAGCCTGCACTGCAGGCTCTGGGAGGGAGGGCAGGAGTCCTTGGCAGGGGCACTGGCTGTGAAATCCACATGGGAGATGCTCGCAAGGGCCAGCCTAGGGAAGAAATGGAGCTCGAACCACGGCTCCCAGGAAGGAGTGCTGGCCTCCAACCTCCATGTAGAACACATCCCTGAAAATGACTGACTCTTTTCTCAGCAGACCTCAGCAGGCTTAGGTGAGGAGGCACTTCGTGCACCCCTCTAACCCGGGACATAAGCCTGGAGTTTTATTGGGCTTACAAAATGGTTTGGAGGTTTATTAGGCTTATGGTAGAACACATCTTAAAATAAAACTACCAAAACATGAGAAGTGTCATTAGAACTTGGTCAAAATCCATGCCCTAGCTGTATGGTAAATGAATTTTTATTTAAAATTTCATGAAATCCAATTGCCTCAAGCTATAAAATTTACAGCTCAACTTTAACTTCAAGCTTACATTTTCAAGTCTGAATAATACACCAGTGAATATAAAACTCTTGCATAAAAATATCAATACATTCAAAGTCAGTCTAATGTTCTTTACTCATTTAATTGGAGGGAATACAGGTATATATAAAATTAATTTTATACTTGCATTTTCATTCATTCGTTATACTCATATGATGTGGTTCATTTTGTCTGTTACACAACATATTGCCCATTACTTCACAGAGGTGTTTCATCCATCACTTTGACATGAAATTTGAATCTAAGTTGTATTTCTTAAGAAATCCTCCTGTGAACTTTTTAAATAAGGTGCAATGCTTCTTACCTTTGTGAAACTGTGTGTGTTTTATCTTACTGCTTAGACTGTGGCGTCTGTGAGGTCAGGGATTTGTTCATGTTTAAGCCACACCATTCATCATTTACTGAACTGAGAAGCACTTAATCAATATGTGTGTCTCAATGAATGATCAGCCAACTCCCTGGAGAAAGTCTCTTCTCGAATTCCCAGAACGCCTCTAGTCAGTGAAAAGGCAGCCTGGCCTGTGGGTGCAGAGCTGGGACACACCTGTGACTCCCAGGTGTGGGGCAGAGGGAAGAGCTTGGCAGAGGACAAAATTGGGCTATGTCTGCCGGGCTTGGGTCCCTTTCTGGGGAGGCCGCCCTCCCGTTCCTCCTGGAGGTGCCCCCACTGCAGGATCTAAGGCGTCCCAGTGGCCCCATAGCTGGAGTGTCCAGGGAGCAGGGGAGGCTGGGACAATTCTATGGCTTTTGATTTTTTAGGACTTTTCAAAAATTTTCTGTGCCATAATTTCAAAGATGGAATAAAATAGATGCCATTATTAGAGATAAAATGAAAATCATACAAGATGAAACAACATAGCCAGAGTTGTAAACGGGGCCCTGCTTCTCACTGCACAAAGGACTGAGAGTGATAAATATCTCCCACCAGGTACACACCTGGGATGCCCTGACGTGTCCCCGCCCAGACCTTGGCCTCGTTCCACGCCTGCTTTAGCTCTCGGTGACTGAAAGGCCTCTCAGTTCTGACCCCCAGAGGTGGCTCTGCCCATGGCCGGGCTGCTGCTGGTGAGAGCAGGGCCCTGGGCTCCGTGTCCATCCCACTGGGGGGTCCTGGGCTCCATATGCACCACATCAGGGGGTCCTGGGCTCCATATGCACCACATCAGGGGGTCCTGGGCTCCGTGTCCACCACATCGGGGGGCCCTGGGCTCCGTGTTCATCACATCGGGGGGCCCTGGGCTCTGTGTCCACCGCATCGGGGGGCGCTGGGCTCCATGTTCATCACATCCGGGGTCCCTGGGCTCTGTGTCCACCGCATCGGGGGGTGCTGGGCTCCATGTCCACTGCATTGGGGGGCCCTGTGCTTTGTGTCCTCTGCATCGGGGGGTCCTAGGCTCTGTGTCCACTGCATTGGGGGGCCCTGGACTCCGTGTTCATCACATCAGGGGGGCCCTGGGCCCCGTGTCCATCACATCGGGGGTCCCTGGGCTCTGCATCTGTCACATCGGGGGTGGTCCTGAGCTCTGTGTCCACTGCATTGGGGGGTCGTGGGCAGGTTCTCACTCACTCTGCTGCACGCATGGGTCAAGGGCATCATCCTTGCCTGGATGACTAAGCGGACCCTGACTGGACTCCGCAGCTCCCATCCCACTGCAGCTGCCAGGGCAGCCTCACAATGAAAGTCCTTGCCCTTCGGTGGCCCCACGTTTAACAGGAATAAAGTCCGTGGCCCTGTAGTGGTCTTAATGCCTGTAAGGCCTGCATGATCTGCATCCCGCGTCAGGCCGCCTCGCTCCCTCCAGCCCCGCCGGTCGGTCTCCTGCTCCTGAGTCCTTGGGTCACACGCCCAGGCTTGGGGAGCTCACCTCTCACCCCCTCGCGACACCACATGGTCGGCCCTGGGGACAGTGCTCCACGCTCACTTCTGTGTGACACGATCCTGCCCCTGGACAGGAGCTCCTCGAGGGTCCTTGCCTGCTTGTCCACTGACATGGCCTCACCACCCAGGACACTGGCAGGTATTGGCTGATCAATCGAGTTAGTTGAGCTGTCAATATGGAATACACCCCCCCCTTTTGTTTGTGCTGCTGTTGCCATTTTCTCAAGGGAGGGTTGGGCCACTGCGTGTCCAAGTGTGGCTTAAGAATAAAACTTGTAATCACAGGACAGGATTCAGTGTGCAATCCGTGCATCTGTTACTAAATTATCAGGGGCCGGAGTTTTAATCAAACTCTAAAGCATGTTCTCAAAGCAGATTCAACACTTTAAATCAACTTTGTTATTCCATGTTTTTCCTGAAAGCAACTAATCACTGTAGCAGTCATCGGAGCTGTGTGTGTGTGTGTGTGTGTGTGTGTGTGTGTGACATCACAAGACCCACTTTGAATATTCAATTAGGCAACAATATGTTGTATGTGAAAGCAATGCCTTT